TCTACCTTCGGCATTTATTTTGCCAAGCGGTTTTCAGACTTGGTGTTCTCTGGCAGCTCGAGCCTGCATTAGCATTCTCATATATAGTCATTGCATGTATACAAACATATAGCATATCCATGCCGTCTGGGCATCACATTTTCAAACAAAACGCATAGCATCTACATGTCATATAGGACATTATCAAGCATACGCATGTCGAAACATGGACCAGGATGGTTACCTATTGGATTTCGAATTTGTTCACCTGCAGAGTTGTTTGGTTCAGCTTCTCGACTTCCCCAACGGAGTGGTTCTTCATATTTGGTTGTTACGTCAGCATCAGGAAAAAAAAACAACGAAGATTGACATATATCAAGCTTTTCTGAAGCTGCCGCCTTCGTCAAGTTCGCAGTGAACTGCGAGTTGACCAGATTTGATCCCATGAGAGAGATGGGAATCAAGTCGTTTGCTTTTCCGAAGCATTATTTCAATACTTGTGGCGTTACGCAGGTGTTGAAAAGGAGAAGAAAATTTATCAGAAAATTGACCAGTTGTTGCCGTGACAACCAAACTTCAGTTTATTGGAAGCTATTCCTCAAGCAGCTTTGCAGTATATTCCCGCGGTTGGCAAATTTCAGGGTTCCATTTGTATTCAACCGTCATCTACCTTGAATGTTTGAAGGCTGAGCGCTCTTCACCCATTCAGGTCGAAGTCGCTTGAATAGGGGCAGCTGTTGCACCCCAAAATTTGACCAACCGGGTCTCGTATCTGGCTCGATGTTTCGACGCATAACCGCATTCGCATCTGCATATTGCATACAGGGCATTTTTCATTTGTTTTGATTTTATCAGGGATCACAGCTCTCGTCTCGTGTTTCAGGTGTTTTAATCAGTTTGAATAGGTAGAATCGATTTTTGGGATATTTCGGTGCCCGTTTATTTTTACCGATTATTTATGTGTCGATCGGTGCTTATTTTGCTATTCTGGGATTTATTGTGATTTTTCTGGATTTTTATTGGCATTTTTTAGGGTTTAAATAGCTTTTAAATCATTTTTTAGGAGTTAATAGGATTTTTAAATAGATTTAGCATTTTAGAATATATTAGGTAGAGTTTAATATTTTTAAATAATATAGAGTAATATAGCTTTTAGAATTTTTTAAATAGAATTTAATAGCATTTTTCATTTTTTAGAAAATTAATGGTTTTTTAAATAGTTTTAATAGTCTTTTTTAATATAGAAATATATAGATTTTTCTTTTATTTCATTTGTAAATAATATAGTCTTTTTTTAGAATTTAATATAGTTTTATTAGGAATTTTTTAGAATATTCTTAGTTTAGGAGTTAATTAGATTAATTGTTTTTTAGATTAATTAGGTTTTTGTTAATTAGTGTTAATCTTTTTTATTCTTATTAATTCATTGTATGCAGTTTTTGTTTTTTTTGATGATTTTCAGTGGGCTTCAGTCCAATTCGCAGGCCCAGTTATTACATTTTTTGTCCAAAGGTTCAGAAATTGTCCAGCAAGTTTCCAGGAATTCTCCAGCAAGTGCTAGAAGCTTCTAGAATACGCCAGAGATTTTCTCAGTTTATATACCAGCACGCCACGTGTGAGCGGGAGGCTGGCCCACACTGCATCCCATCCACACGCCACCTCACCTCCATTCTCTCTCTCAAGCCTCACACGTGGAGGCCATGCGTAGCACCTCTCACACAGGTGGCACACATGCACGCCACCACTCCACCAGCTGCAGCCACGCGTCCCATTACTAACCTTCACCGGCGAACCACACCGGCCGGCCTGCATGGCCGGCGGCCACCGCGCCGTCGCCGGAAGCCCCTACATCCCCAGAATCCGATGACCTTCATCTTCCTCCCTGACCTTCATCATCCTCCACCCAGAAAACCACAAAAAAAACCCAGAATTCATATCTTCATCTTCTCCGGTAAGACATTCATCTCCTCATCCAACTTCCGACCACCACCGATTCTCCAGAAAAACTCAGAACATCATCCTCACCAAGAAGAATCTTCAACAAAACTCGTCCAACCACATCTCTGATCAATTCCTTCGATCATGCAAGACCTTCAACCGTGTTCATCCTTGATTTTTCCAGAAATTCATCAGGACGATGAAGATTCATCACCAACCTTCAACTACCTCCATTAGCTTTCGTCTTCATCATGTTCACTAGTACTTCTTCAGGTTCATCAAGGATGAATCCTCGAACTAACCCCAGATTACTCCTCGTGCCTTCAATCTGCAAACAAGATCTTCGCATTCATGAAGATCGTCAGCAACAAGAAGAACAAATCTTCATCGTGGCTCCTGGAAATCACCAGAACGCCTTCACCGTAGATCAAGACCTCTCAGGATCTTCAAGGCTCTTCAGAAAATCCCAGGTCCTTCATCGTTGAATTCACCATCTCCAGAACGAGTCTTCAGCGTCATCCTTCATATCTTCATCTCCAGAAGAACAGCATGATTTCCAGAAAACTCCAGAAGATTCGTCCAGATCCACAGAGATCATCATGTTGGTTCAACGATCTCCATCGATTCAGCAGCAAGAACTTCCACCGAACCACAACACAACTCACAGAAGATTCAATCTTCAGAGGATGAACTCGTCAAGCAATGGATCTGTTTGTGTTTGAGAGAATTGACTTGAATTGGCATGAATATGGAAGGATTGAGGTTATGGGTGATGAACGGAGAGAGGAGAAGTCAGGGAAAGGGGACGGCGGCGGCGCCATGAGGAAGGAGATAAGACTAGGGTTTTTTCAGAAAGGGAGTTGGGAGAGGAGAGTGGGCCTCAGGGCCCAGTTCCTTTTTTTTTTGACACACGCGCCCTCACGTTTTTTGGCATAGTGGGCTTAAGCCCAACGCACTTCCCAGCAGCACCCCCCCGTTTTTGGTGTCTTCCCTCCGTTTTTTGCAGCCACATTGGGCTGGGCCCTTATTTCTTTTTATTACTTTCTGCTTATCACCCCTGTAACCAGTACACCCCCCTCCCTTTGTATTTTGTTTTTTCTCCTTATTTTCTTTGAAGTAAAAAGAAAAGAATATTATGAAAAATATTATAAGAAAATAGAGAGAAAAAATATTATGAAAAGAAAATAGAAAAAGAAAAGAAAAGGAATGTTAAGAAAAGAAAAGTGAAAAACAATAGAAAAATATGAAGAAATAAAGAGAAAGAAATACAAAAAAAAATATATTGGAAAAATATGGAGAAAAATATTGTGAAAAAATAGAGAAAAATATTTTGAGAAAAGGGAAAAATATGTTGAAAAGAAAAGAAGAAAAAGGAAAAAATATTAAAGTGTCGATTTAATATTTTTAGAGTTCATTTTCTTTTAGGGCATATTCTCATAGAAATTATTTTCTTTTTAAGGATAGCTTAGAAGCCCATTTGTTAGGGGGCCATTTTCCATTCGATTTTTTTAGGATAGAATAGGATAGCGTTTCCTAGGAGATTATTTTTCAGCATCCATTCACTGTAATCATTTTTCAGAGATTAATAAAACGAGATTTGAGCTGTGGTCCCGTAGTAGCCGAACTACAGCTGCTCTGATTCTTCGTACCAGACGAAGATATGTAGGCATAGGACGCGATATCCTAGCGAGCACACTAACGACTGACTTTGTTGTTCTCTCGCGGCTGTGCGATCGAGACTTTCCCGCTGACGACTAATTGAGTACCCTTTTTTTTCTCTCTTGCCCGAGTGCATTTGAGACCAAGCCGTAGTTTTGCCCATAGGTTCCCGACCCTGTGAAACCAGTTGTTTTTCTCACTGCTGTGTGAGAGTGTTTGTTTAGCCGTAGTTAGTATGAACTACGTAAAGCTCTGATCTTCCATGCAGTATGGAAGTACGTAGGCACAAGACGCGAGGTCTTGGCGAGCCAATTTTCCCTGTAGTCCCGAACTACGTTGACTCTGACTTTCTCTCTTGAGAATACGTAGGCATAGAGTGCGACGCTCTATCGAGTCAAATCCCTTCCGTTTAGATTTAGCAGTCGTAGATAGATTGTTTTGCATCCATTAGACAACCCAAGCAAGCGTGGATCCCGTCGAGTACGACGGACGTGAGGGGTGCTAATACCTTCCCCTTGCGTAACCGACTCCCGAACCCAGGCTATGGTTGCGATGACCATACCTTTTCCCCGTTTTTTTGCGAGGTTTACTTCGAGCGTTTCCTTTCTCGCTCTGAGGGATAAATAACGCACGGTGGCGACTCTTCTGTCAGCCGGCGCCGATTTTCGCAGTAGCGACACTTTGGTATGATTTTTTTTGTTATATTGATTTTTTGCACATCAATGCCCGACACGCATGACATCAAGTAATACACTGAGATAAAATACAAATTTCAGGACTTATAAATTGTTTGAAGGATAAGATTCTCAGTGTTTTTAATATGCATTATGGTGATGGTACTTGACTGACAAATCAACATTATATGAGATTAGATTACAGTTTAATACAACAACAAATCATCTCATTACTGTCCTTTTTCCATCTAATCCATGAAATGTGGACAATCAGATTAATGAAGGTATATGAAGGTAACCAACACATGGAATGTAAAAATCAAATCATGATACAATGGAGCTTCCGGGATGCATTTCCTGACAATTATTTTGAGCCAAATAAATGTGTTTCACTTGTAGTGCTAAAATGTGTATAAAAAATACGGCCGGTTTCATAGGGGTGGGGAGCACCCATAAGGATGCAAAGAGTAACCCCTTTAAACTATAATAGTTGAACCAATAAGATATCCATTGGTCAACATATTCTCAACATCATAATCACCACGGCAACTTGTTATTATTTATTAGAGTACAAACTACAAGAAAATACAGATGACTATAGTAGAAATAAGTTTCTAAACAATGGCCTCAAAACAGAGATGTGAAATCCAATTTTAATTCAAAACCTTTTGTTGATCCCAGAAACTGTTACATTCATCTTCTTTCAATGAACTAACTGGTAATAATTTAATCAAACAATCTCCACTATCATCAGCTAATGATCATTTTGTTAAAAAACTCAGCTTGCTCAGGAAAATACTCCATCAACTCATCCTTCGTCACCCAAACATATTTCTCGCATTGTCCAATGTCAAACTTGTTTTTTGCAATTACTTGTGACTTGAAGAAGAATTTCTGACAGAAGATATAAGCGCAACAGAAAGAATAAGCAAAGTATAATTAATATGAATTTCAACAAAGAAATAAGGCAGAAGCATCGAAAAGGCTAATTTTGGAATTGTGTAGTAAAGGCCTACAGAGTCATTTTCAGAAAACGGCAAAACATGCTGATATAAATAACATTTGAAAGATGTCAACTTTAGTAGATTGATGCACTACAAAATTTCCTATAAATATACCTTAAAAGGTGTGGATCCTGACTCCTCTTCTTTAGGCTGAACAACCATATGGGCCATTGGAGCATTTCCGACAAAATATGTATTGGAAAGATCTCCTAGGACTGATTTCAATGCAGATTCTGCACACTGAATTTTTAAAAAAGAATAAGGTACGAGGGAAATCAAGATATCAGTGTTATCAATTGCAGATTGCAGAAAATAATGGTTCTTTTACAAATTCTACTGCGCAGCAGTGTTATAGCACCAGCATAGATACTATTTGACAACACTTTGTACTAAATATATCGAAGAACAATAGCAATTTGTTCAAATTTGTTATGCTATAGCTACTTAAGAGCACTGGAAGATATAGGAAATAGGAACGGAAAGTCACTTAAGATATTCACCTTACGCATGGTTTCCTCTGACTCATATACTTTCTCTGGAAAATGCCACACGGGCTTTCCGCTTGGAGCCCCATAAGCATTTCCATAGAGAAGAAGGTAGAGTCTTTTGTCAAGAGCTCTTTGTAGTGACCTAAAGAGGCAAGAAGTGAGAGACTATTGAGCCATAACACAGCAATAGAAAAGGTAAGTGAGTAAAAAACAAATTAAATAACCCTTGATTAAGAACATCTATACTAAGTACCGCACCAAACAAACGGAGATTTGCTCACTCCCGGAAGAGGAGGAAACAATAACAACCAAGTAAATAATTGATTGGAGAAATCATGAAGATTTGTATTGAGACATCTCTTATTTTCATTCATTCTACTTCATATATTCCAGAAATTGAAAGAAAACCTTTTATGGAAAATTACATAAAAAAACAGTCTGCTAATTTGGTGCACACCTTAGATCTTTGTTTTTGTCTGCTTCAGTGATTCGTGGTGCTGGCACATAATCAATTTGATAATCACCTTTCCCCCTGGAAGTAACACCATTTTCACGATAATAAATGAAAAGAAAGATCTATTTGTATTTTGCCATTTGTGACATCACTTAAACATATGGATCTCAAGATATCTCTCTTTTGGATGAACCAATTTTAAATAACCAAAACATTTACTTAAAAACCTACTCTTAATTACTCATACCTTGCGTCAGATCTGTCTAGAAATTCATCAGGATATCTGCGTTGATATTGTTGTCGCCATCGAAACCTAGCCATTGAAGCCCCATAAAAAATGTATTATATAACAAGAACAACAGCCACAATATCAGTAAGAAAATACAACAAATAATAGAAGACAATAAAATAATAACAATTTTTGCTAAAACAATTTCAAGTTTTCTAGACAAACCATAGCATAATTTTGAACTAAGTCACATTAACAACAAAACCCTATGTATTAGAAGGATTGTTCATGGTACAGTTCATAGAGAAAACCGTATTGAACCGAATCAAACCATAATAAAAATTTATTTGAACTGAACTGAACCGTTCAATTTACTTAGAACCGAACCGAACCAAAGTCATTGGTTTGGTATACCGTTTAGAAATTCCGAACCATTAGAAGACAATTTTTCCAAACCGAACCGTTTATTAAAGAACCGAACCATTAAACTATTTTTCAAAAATTTTAAACAATAAAAATTAAAACTTGTTTTTAGTTTTTTTTAATTTTCAGTTTCGGTTCAGTTCGGTTACAGTTTCAGTTCAGTTCTAGAACTGTTTCGTGTAATATGGTTTGGTTCACTAAACAAACATAACGGTTTGGTTATTTTAACTTCAATCCGGTTCAGTTTGGCAGTTCGGTTCGGTTCATGGATTTTTTGAACAACCCTATGTATTAGACATTAACCTCCTTCTTCTCCATCTTAAAAGATAGTAGAAAAAGAAAGCACTGATATTTCACATCATATATCACCTTTTTCTATAAAAAGTGCACAAACTAAATTTTACTTAAGACATAACACTGAAAACCAGATGATAAGATTCCTTAGTTTTCTCTTAGATTATACTACCACCCTCCCTAAATATAAGTCTTGTTTGAAAAGGCGGGGCATTCTAAGCTTAGAGGTCAAAGTTGGAGATCATAACAATACAACTCAAGTTGAATGGAACATTTTATTGTGCAACTACAAGACTGAAGACGTTGTATGGGACGGAGTGTTGGGTGGTAAAGAACCCACCTGACAATAAAATAAGTGTAGCAGAGATGAGAATGTTATATTGGATGAGCAATGGTAAGATTACACGAGATAGGACTAGAAATGACATCATTAGAAAGAGAGAGTTGGGGGGTAGCCCCTATGGTATAAAAGAGGGTGGAAACTCAGTTTGGTTCAAATATGTAGAGAGAAGACTTGTAAATTTTGTTGTAAAGAGAGTAAATCAAATGAAGGGTAGTCAATTTGCTAAAGAAGGCGGAAGATCTAAAAAAACTATAGGAATAATTATTAAGAAAGACCTAGAGAATAATGAGTTTGATAGAGATATGATATATGATATGACATTATGAAGTTGTTTAATGCCTATAGCTGACCATACTTAATGAGATAAGAACGTTGTTGATGTGAAAATAACCAAAAGGGATTATAACTATAATTAGGGATGAAGGTAGTATGAAGAGATGTAAATTAGGGAATTCAGTGTCAGATAGCTTGGCAAAATTTAAACATGTATAACAATTAATAAACAATGTTAGGTTCCAATAGTAATAGCATGCTTCATCCTGCAACTAGTTTACAAAATCAGCACAAATTCACAAAGAATTAAGTCCAAATTCAACATTCAGCTTGCAATATGAAAGAAAGTAATGACTACAAAGACTTACGAGAATTCTTGAAAAGCATAAACAACAGGGTCAATTTTGGGAATGACCACAGGCAATCTCTCAAACAGAACGGAGGCAACCATTTTCTCAGAGCTGGAACTGATTCCTCGCCTCGTAATGAGAGGCCGAATCAATGACATCTTCATCCTGAACGAAAGCAAGAAACGTCACACAGGCATAAGAGATTTAAACAATGGTTGTTGATTTCATCATTCAATTTTTGTGGCTCGTTATTTTCGTGATTCTGATTAGGTTTTTACAGTGATGAGAAAAGAGGTTTCATACCTTGGCGGAAAATGGAAGAGTGATTGTCGCCAAAAATGTGCACAGAAATGAGGTAGCTAGAATTGGAACTGCAAGTGTTGTGTGATGGAGAGAGGTGAGACGACAGCGTTTTGGGGAGTGACAGTGTTCGAGCAGGGGGGAGTGATGTGGTGGCAGAGTAGAATTCTTAGGGTTGTTTTGGTTTGCATTACATGAAGGGAAGGGAGAAATATTTTTAGTTTCACGTGTTTGGTTTTCTTTTTTTAAGAGGGAAGAGGAGGAAATTAAAACATATTTTTCTTCTCCAAGGAAAAAATATAATATTTATAATTTCATTTCATTTTGTAGATTATTATAATTTGAATTTAAAATTTTAAAATCATTTTTAGTAAAGATTTAATTTTTATTTAAAAAATATATTACTTTCATGTTATTCTATTAGTTTTATTATTATTTTAATTTTATTTTTTTTTTCATATTCTCTTATGTTCAGCACGTATCTCTTAATTTTAGTATTTTAGTAAGACATATGTTAAGATCTATACTTTAACAAAAAAAAATAATAATAATAATAATAGTTGAATTTTCACCAATGATTTTTATTAATAAATAGAATATTAAAATTAAAATATTTTAATTTTGCTACCGATTATTTAAAATGGGATATGAAAAAAAAATGATAGGATTAAACCTCTTTAAAATTTAGATTTTTCTTTTTTAATGTGTTGTGTGAATGATTGTAATATCCCAGCCATAAAGGAACAAAATATCGTGCTTTAAGATGAAGCTCAACTAATTTGATGTCCCTTTATGAGAATTAGAATTGTATTTCAAGATATCTACAAAATTCAATTTTAGAAAAGGCGATAGATAAACATCAACAATTAGGGATTCGAAAACATCATATTTAAAGTGTGACATTATTATCAATCATATATGAAAAGTAGGACCTCTTGAGGGAGCAACCAAAGGTTTGTTATCAACTTTCTTAAACTCGTACAGGATAAGAGGCGCTCAAGGCTCAAGTAATCAATTCGTCAAGGTATAATTCAAAACATCATTAGAATTGAACAAAGGGTGTCTCAAGAAGAATTGCAGCACCCCACAAGTCGGAATACGAAGTAGTAGCATAATATTCGATGTAGATAGGGTCACATGAAGAAACCACCTAGAACTCAATATTGAACCAGCTATTATGGTCTTAGAGTATGGGTGTAAACAGCCTAACCCATGGAATGCAAAATAAGACTAATTGGTTCGTCAAGGTATGACTAAAAACATCATTAGAAGTAAACAAAGGGTATCTCAAGGAGAATTGGAGTACGCCACAAGTCGAATTATGAAATAGTAGCATAATATTCAACGTATATGATGTCATATGAAGAAATCACCTAGAACTCAACACGGAACCAATCATTATGGTCTCGGAGTAAGACTGTAAACACCATAATCTATGGAACGCAAAATAAGAATAACTAAAGTCATCCCAGTAAGATGTACCGACCAATCAAAGGAAAATTGTAATGCTTGAGAATAAGTTAGGGAGGTGATAACCATTCAAGTGTGAGCATGGAAAACAAGCAGCTCTAGATGGATTCTAGCCAAAAGGGGGCATGTGTTGACCAAATCCACAATGGGACAAGAGGAATGATAAGGTCATGCAGGTATGGGATTGTGTGGTTACCGGAAGAATATAAGAGTTAACTTCCACACCTCATATCACAAAATATACATTCTTTTCAATAACCATACCATTAGGGCTCCACGTTTAAGTGCATTTGAATTGGATAACTCTTGGAACAAGTGACTTTATAGTCAATTTTTCATAGCGTGCGAGCGATGAAAAAACATATTGAAAGAAATTGTGTTAATTGTAGAATCAGTTTGTAATAATTTGGAAATATATGGGATCTATTGGATTTCATTCAGAAAATTATGAAGTTGATTGAACATGCTTGATTGATCAGTATTGGACAACAACTCATAACATATGGGTTAGGGTCATAAAATTAAGTGAAACTTCACATAACTAAATATTAAATGCTAAAAATTAGAAAAGGTATACAACCATTGACAAATATCAAAGTAGTGTAGTGGAAGCATAAGGAATCCTTTGTACTTAGGAAGAATCAGGTCATGGATTAAGAATCTTCGGCAGTTAGTCTAGGTTGAATCAAGTAGGCCATGAAGTGGTTCAAATCAATTTATTGAATTGTTCTCCACCATATAGTGGAGTAATATGCCAAACAATAGGTAATGTAACCTGAAAGGAAGTGAGTTTGCTTTGAGCATGGACAAATTTAGTCTAAATGGATTGGGCCTAAGAAAGCCAATATAATAAGACATTCTTTGTTAATTAATAGACACAAGGAACCGTTTAATTAGTAAGGAACGAAACAAAAAATCAATTTATGGGTGAAAATAGCTAGAAGGAACAATAAAATTTCCAAGTTGTGAATAAGTTATAGATCGCACAATATAAAAGGATAACATAATGATCACCGTGAAGGTAGATATAATATACTTCAAGAAAATTCAACTTAAAGATGGGACTTTATTGGCATCATAAACCTTATAAACCTTGTGTGGAAGAAATTATCAATTAAAACAATTATTGGTTAAATCGATAAAGGACACAACTCATCAAGAGAAACTTAGCATGAAGAACCATAAGACATGTCTTAGAAAACTAGACATAGGAATTGAATAATTTTTACATAAGACACAAATAAAGTGCAAATTTCGGGGATGAAATTATTTTAAGGGGGAGATTGTAATACTCTGACCTTTTATTAATTAAGATTAAACTTTTTCATAAAAGGTATCTTAGGCATTTCAAAATGATTCAATAACATTAATTATGGCTTAGGGAAATAGAATTAATCCATAATTAGTGATCACGGACCAATTAGGAACTACATTGTATAGTGATGGAAATTATGGTATTTGGCATATTTTAAATGAACGACATAATGGACTTTTGGCTTGGGTAATATAAGTAGGGGAAACCGATATGAGAAACACAATTTATCTTCTTATACACCTTTTCTCCACTAGGAAAAGATACAAAAGATTGCAATAGGATGAATGTAAGTTCAACTTTCTTGTAATAATCCTCATTATTCCATGACGATCATCAACAACCAAGTGGAACCTTGGATAAATGAATTGTGATAGCTTTGGAAGAGAAGAAATTGAGTACTTTTAACAAAAGGGAGATCGATTTTGAAGAAAAGAATGATGATAAATTTTACTTGATCAACTTGCATTTCAATGGAAGTGGGGCCTTAGATAATTCAATTGAAGAGTAATCATCACCATCTTATTCAAATTTAGTCGAGCTTCCTTCTTAAGCTTTAATCTTATCTAGGGTAGTGTTAATATTTTTTATATGGATGAAGAAACTTGATGAATTGTGAGGCACTATTGTGGCTTGTGTGTACATTGAATCTAGAAAAGTGATTGAATAACTCATGACGCTTTAGTAGCATTATTATGTGTTAGAGGATGCTTTAGAAGTACAAAATGTTTTTTTTTTGTTAGATTTGTTATTAGGATCATGGGTACATGATTCAAATAATTATGTTAGGAATGCACCATTGGATTTGTGATCCAAATCACGGGGTTGCGTGATTCTAATCATTAATCTAGAGTTCCCAAAAAAAACTTTCTTTTATGCTCCAAAACACTAGTATAAGATGGATAATTATCCTTAAGACTAATGGGGCTATCTTAGGCTTAATTATTATTTGAAAATGTATGATTAAGATATGATTGTGAGTTGATCAGAGTCAAATATAAAATATATGATTAAGATCAAGCAAGACTTGTTAAAAATCGTGTAGGCATAATGTAGATTTACGTGTTGTGCAGATACAATCATCTGTAACCATCAAATTGTTTTGGCGATGACAACTATCAAGTTATGATGACAACTGCCAAGTTAGTTTAATCATCAAATGAAGCAAATGTTATCAAACTCCATACAGTCAAATGACATATGGTGTTGATCAAATAAGTCCTTGGTAACATATATCACAATAAATCTATCTCAATCCTCATCAGTCAGACATTCCGAGTTCCAATTAAAATGCTAGTCAATAATGAATAAAGCAAGGAACTTAAAGATATGAAGTTGTGAAAGAGAGAAAATGTAAAGGTTTACTGGTCCTGCACTTAGAGCTTGTATGATTGAGTAGTTAATATGTAAAAGTTCTAGAGTAAGTATTAAAGTACTAAGACAAGCATACATATACAAAAATATTTTTCGGACTCTCTCTGATTCATAAAACTTCTTAATCAATTATTAGCCAGGGTTAATCAGTTAGGGATAATCAATTAGAGTCAATCAATTAAATTGATTAATTGGCCCATGGATAATTTCCTTTTTTGAGCAAACCTTTTTCCTATATAAAAGAGGTTTCACCTTATTTTGTTTTACACCAAATTTCTAAATAAAAATCATTTTATCTTTCCTCTACTCTCTATGATTTTGAAATTGCTTTTTCATGAGAATTACCATAGTGCTAAAAGAGTAAAAAGCCTTTGTGAGAGTTTTGTTGTAATCGATGTTGAGCTTAATTTATTGTATTCAAGAGTTTGATTCTCCTGTGGGATTACTTTGTAACAGGCTTGAAAGGTTTCAAGTTAAACTCGATAAAAGCTTAATTGTAGGTTCTTGAGTTTGACATGTAAAACATATGTTTCCAGGTTCTTAAGCTTGACCTATGTAAAACCTTTGTTTGAAGGTTCTTTAGGTTAACCTGTGCAAAAACATTATTTGAAGGTTCCTAAGTTAAACACGTGTGAAAGCTTTGTGACATACCCCAATTTTGACCCTGAAAATTTGAATCAATATATTTATCATGACATTAACATCATT